CCCGGAGCTGGGGGCCGCAGCCTGCCGCCTGCCAAAGGGTAAAGGTCCGGGATCCTGGTTGGGAGAGTGCTCCGCAGTTCTGGGCAACTGAAGGGGGCCCCCGAGCAGCGCAGGGAAGTGGAGGTGGGGAGGCACCTACTAAAGATAAATATGCGAGGAGTAATAGCGCGGAGCCAGGGAAGGTTTTGGGTCGCCGGGGAACGCTCAATAGGTAGGGATGCAGCAGATTGCTCAGGTGTTCATTGCGCATCTTCTGTGTGTAGGTACAATTTAGCTGTTGGAGGGACCCGAGTGAATAAGGCTCTTGGGCGGCTCACTTTTCAGACAGGTCAGTTAAAGCTGGGCCTGGTGGCGCACGCCTGTCATCCATCACCTGGGAGGCTGAGGCAGGAGGATTGCCAGGACTTTGAGGCCGGGCTAGGCTACATAGGGAGACCTTGTCTCAAGGAGTGGGGTAGTTTAAAAAGGCGTTCAGGTAGATTAGTACGTAAAGCGAAAATAAAACCCTGAACTGAACCCTATACTTCAAAGGAATGGATTTGATGTTATGTGGATTGAATCTAAGTTTTTTGAAAAAAAAAAAGATAAAGGCTATGGAGAGAAAGGGGGAAGGGGTTGGAGTTTTAAATACAACAGAGAAAGCCTCACTGGGACAGTGACATTTCAGCAAAAGCTTGGAGATCGTGTGCATAGGACCAGAGGCAGGAACACACTTCACTTTCCTGCTCAAGGACCGCTTGAAGGCAAGTGGCCTGGAGAGGAGAGTGAGGTCGATTCCTGGAAATTGGAATTGGAAGTAATACAGCAGCCACTCACAAGGCAGCTTTGAGGCCTCTCAACCTCCACTTCCCTGGCTTCGGGGCAAGATGGAAGCCATGGGGAGCTTTGAATTCGGGGCGCTGTGATGTGCAGTGAGAACAGATTTAATGTCTCTTGGGCTGAAGAGCGAGGCTGGGATTGGGAAACCAGTGTGGAGGCTGGGGTGTGGACAGAGGGGAGGTTCTGAGAGCAGGAGCCACCAACGCCCTATAGGGGAAACTTGTGAATTCAGAAGACAGGGTGCAAAAGAAGATATGAAGGTTTGGTTGACCTCTGGCTCTTTACCTCCACAAGTAGAGGCTGCAGGTTGCTGAAACAGCTGGAGTGAGTGTAGAAGCAGTGCAGCCTGTGCTGCCTGGGACTTAAAATGATGATCGGTCCAGTGGGGATGTTGGAATCACCAGTGTCTAAGGGACCGGGGTGGGCTGTTGCCTTTCCTTTGTGGGAGATCAGGAGCTTAGTTGTGTGGCCTACCCCTACCCCTACTTTTGCAGTCATGGCTGACATGTCATTCGAGGAGCTGTTGGAACTGCAGAGCCAATTGGGGACCAAGACACACAAAAAGTTGGTGGCTGGAAACAGCACTAAGAAGCCAGGGTCTAGAGCATTTGCCCAAAATACCTGTGTTGCAGATAAGCACAGGTGAGAGCTGGGCCTGCCCCAGGAGGTGGCGGTACCTTGGGTAGAAGGTTTGACCACCCCGGAGTCCCCTTGACCTGTCCTTTCATTTCTTCGTAGGCCTTTGGAAATGTCAGCCAAGGTGCGAGTGCCATTTTTACGGCAGGTCGTCCCCATCAGTAAAAAGGTAAGGAGGTGGCAGGAAGCACCTTGTGAAGGGAGCCCGAGCCAGAGCCCGAGCCGTCTGTCCATATGATTCTCTCCCAACTCCCTGAAGGTGGCGCGGGATCCCCGCTTCGATGATCTGTCCGGGGAGTATAATCCTGAGGTGTTTGACAAAACTTACCAGTTCCTGAATGACATCCGAGCCAGAGAGAAAGAGGTGGGCAGCCTGAGGCTGGTTGATGGGGGTCTTTGGGGAATGGGGGTTAGAGATGGGCAGATGGGAGTGGGAAGCATTACTCTCTGTACTCTGTTTCTCTTGAAATTCTGCTTCATTGGTTTTTTTAGCTGTGTGACCATGACAAGTTACTTAATCTCTTTGTCTCCGTTTTCTTTTGTTGTTGTTTGTTTTGTTTTGGTTTGTTTTGGTTTTGTAGGAAAGTTGTTCTCTTAAATTTTTTTTAGTATATGTGCTGCCGAAGCGAGCACATCTCTCAAATTTTTTTTGACAGTCTTGCTATGTAGCCCAGGCTGGTCTTGAACTTGTGGTTCTCCTGCTTTAGCCTCCTGAGTTCTGGGACTGTAGGCTGTACCACTGTGTCTGGTTTTCTAATCATAAGGAGGATGATGTAGCTCAGCAGTAGAGTATGCACTTAGTATGTACAGGGCACTGGTTCTGTCCTCAGCAACACACACACAGGGATACTGAAATTCTTACCTCATAGCCTCATCATGTTAGTTTTTGTGCCCTCTTGAATAACACTTGACAGTCTCAGCTGACAAACAGATTGTTAACTGTCCTGTTGCTTCTGCAACGTACAGCTGGTGAAGAAGCAGCTGAAGAAGCACCGCTCGGGGGAGGAGTGTGAGAAACTGCAGCAGCTGCTTCAGCGGCTGGTGAGTTTGTGGCCTGGGTGGCTGTGGGGAACAGTGGGAGGCAGGGTGACCAGAGCCCCCTTGCCTGCTCATTCCATCTCCCTTCTGCCCTCCCCAGGAGCAGCAGGAAGCGGCCCAGCAGGAGAGGAAGCGGCAGCAGGAGCTCCGCCTGGCTCTGAAGCAGGAGCAGCGGGCTCAGGCCCAGCAGGGCCATCGGCCATACTTCCTCAAGAAATGTGAGTGGGGTGTAGCTGTGGGGGACTAGTTACAGGGACAGTGGAGCCCAGGGACGGGGAACTGCAGGGTCAGGAGCTCTTTGAAGGGTGGTATGGACAGCCAGATCTGGCAGTGCTTACCTGTAATCTCAGCACTGGGGAGGCTGAGGCAGGATTGCTGAGTCCAGGGCCAGCCTGGATTGTATTATTATAATACCCTGTCTCAAGGGAAGAGGGGAAAAAAAAATGAAAATGAAAGGAATGAAGATTGGATCCTGTGACTCGTGGGAAGAGTAGGGATCAACTATTTGCAACCAGTCTTGTGTCCCTGATTCACTTATGGCAGAAATTATCTTTTCTCTCTTCCACCCCCAGCCCCCAACCCTCTGTGTGTGCTGGGCTGGGCACGTAGTAGGAGCTCAGCATTGGCTCAGTGAGACTGGGATCATGCGAGAAGATGGTTGAGGCTGGGGTGTGGCTTAGTGGTACAGTGCTTGGTAGCATGTGCAAGGGTCTAAGTAAACCCAGTTCTGTGCTCACACAGAAATTGATGCGCTCTAAGCAACTGCTACCCCAGCCTCGGGAATGTGAGAGGGCGGCTTCCTCTTTTCTCATCAGCTTGCTTTCTCCCTGCCATCCAGCGGAGCAGCGCCAGTTGGCCCTAGCGGAGAAGTTCAAGGAGCTGAAACGCAGCAAGAAGCTAGATGGTTTCTTGAGTCGAAAAAGGCGTCGCAATGCAGGCAAAGACAGGAGACACCTGCCTTCAAGCAAAGAATAACAAGGAGTGGTCCTATCTGCCACTGCCCAGGGAGATGTAGATCTATGGGGCTGATGTGGGGCTGGCTCACTCTGCCAGGTCTTTCCTTTTCAAGGGCAAGGATCCCAGCTGCTCCAGAACTACATTGACTCAAAGACAGGAGGGGTCTTGGGTGGCCCTTGGATTGGAGAGGAAATGTCGCTGCGTAGATCCAGTCATTGTGTGCTCCATCCTTGCCTTACCCTAGTATTACTGATGCAGAAGCACAGGGCCCATGGGGTCTGTTCATAAAGGAGCCTCATTGTAAGCTTTCTCGTTAACTAATCATCTTTGTATTTGTCTGCTGTTTTGTGGGAGACCTAGAACTGTTGTGAAATCAGAGAGCCTGCTCCCACAGTTAAATTTGGGCCCTGTTCCTGGGCATGGTGGTGCTTGCTCATAATCCCAGCACTGGAGAGGCTGAGGCAAGAAGATTGCAAGTTCAAAGCCAGCCTGGACAATTTAGCAAGCCCGTCTCAAAAAGGAGCCAGGCGTGGTGGTGTATACCTGGAATTCCAGCTCTCTGGGAGGATGACAAATTTGAGCCCCCTGAACTTAGTCTTTGTCAGAACATAGAAGGCTGGGGATGTAGCTCAGTGTGAAAGCTCTGGGTTCAACCCCAATACCACAGATTACATAGGTGATAAGGGAGGAAGAAAAAGAAGGATGAAAGGACGAATAAATAGATGCTAGATGGGCCCGGGATATAACTCAGTGATAAACTGCCCTTGAGTTCGATCCTTTGTTTCATTTTGAGAGGGAATGTCACATATACTTTAGGCTGTACTTGAACTCTTGGTGATCTTTGCCTCAGCCTTTCAAGTGCTGGGATTACAGCTGTGTCACCACACTTAGTTTGATCCCTAGTACTGAAAAATGAAGCCAGCTGCCTTGTTGGGTTGGGTGGTCCCAATGGCAGAGGAGTCGCCTTGAGTCCCTGCTGGTGCTGGTGACAGGTGGGTAGCTGGGCCTGAACTCGGCCGCTCTGCTGGGTTCCAGCAGATCAACCAGAGCAGTCAGCTGGTTGAGCTGTGTGCTGGGGGCAGGCAGCACAGGAGGCAAAGTCAGGGACACTCAGATTTGGGGACTTCGTTCACTGCAGAGGAGCAGGAGGCACCTGAGAGATGAGGGCAGGTGGCTTGGGAGAGCTTCAGGGGAGGTCAAGGTGAGCATACACAAGGGGCAGCACTGGGAGGGGTGGGAATGTGAGAAAGTCCCGTGTGCTGGCCTGGCCACTGAAGTGCACAGCAGGAGACAGCACAGAGAAGGGCAGGAGGCTGACACTCCAGCACATGCTAAAGGACCAGCACGGCCCCGACCCAGGCCAGTCCAGGACTTCTACAGAAGTGCCCTATGGTGCCCCAAGCCCTCTGCAGCCCCAGCGTGATTGGCACCTGCCATGTGGCCATCAGCCCCACCCTGCAACTCCCCAGCCCTGGCCTCTTTCCCATTTGTGCCATATTCCAAGCCCCGCCCCGGGTAGTGCCAGTCCCTTCCATCTGGCCTGTGCTCTCTTACCACCTGACTCTTCCTCCTCCCAGCTCCTGTCCTACTGGGCCATGGGAACTGAAGACTCCCCTCCTCCCTGCCAAATGGCCCTGCTGTATGCAGAGCTCCGACCTGGCACTGGGTGCCCGGGCTTTGGCCTGGCCTGCCTTGGTACAGGTGTCAGCAGCGCTTGCTGAGGACCTACTGAGGTAGCAATTCCAGCGTGCGTGCATGCGTGTGCACGCGCGCGTACGCATAGCCTGCTCACCCAGAAGGGGCAGGAACAGAGGACAGGCAGAGGAGCAGTAAAATCAAAAAAGGGCTGGGGATGCAGCTCAATGGGAAGGCCCTGGCTTCAATCCCCAGTTCTGTAAAAACAAAAACCAAATGCCTCAGCTGAAGCCAGTCCTTCCAGTTCTGCCTCCCAACCTGCGTCCACCACATGGAAGACACATTTGGGACACTGCCAGTTATTTTAGCAAGGTGGTCTCCCTGTGGTCACCAAACAGACCCCACAAATTCCTTCTTGATTTATTTCCACAAATAAAACCTCAGCCCAGGGTTACCGGAAGGTGGAGAAGCTGAGGGTGTCAGTGCAGGAGGCATAGGGGACACCCCGGGAGCGAATCTGCAGAGTGTGGAAGGTGAGGGGTGGGTTGGGGCCTGAGGAGCCTGGACTTAGGGACTCGGTGTGGGGCTCCACCACGGTCACAGGGACGGCATAGGATAGCACCTGCGGCCGGGAATCGTGGCGCCTCAACGTGCCCTTGCCCAGCAGGTGCAGGATAGAGGAGAGGACATCGGTGCTGCTGCATGTGGCTCCCTTGCCAAGGCTGCTGATCAAAAGCTGGGGCGGGCACGGGCCCTTCTGCCAAGCCTCCAGCACCTGGCATGGGAGATCAGAGGCGGCTCAGAGCCACGCTCACCGCAGCCTCTGCTGAGATCTCATAATCCTGAGCCATAGAGCCCCAGGATACAGGTGCACCCAACCTCACAACTCACACCCCAGGCTGCAGGTGACACCTGTGGCTGCTCCCCACCCCGAGTCCACCATACCAGGCAGACAAGCCGGTCAATGTGTAGCCCCTCATCGCCATGGGCCTTGAGCATCCGTACAACCAAGCAGTTCAGCAGGTTCCGCCTCTTCTCCAGGCTGCGGCCCTCTTCATCCTCCGCCTCCAGGTATGTCTGCGGTGGGATGAGCCACACACTGCCCCACCTTGGCCTGGCTTCCTCAGTATCATCTCGAATCTTGAGCACCCCTGAAATAGGCACTGGTCACTGGGGGCCCTGGGAGCCTGCCCTGACTCAGAGTGGAAGCCCCTCTGGCCCTAGACACACACCTCCTGGGATATCGTCTTCCTCTTGCAGGTCCAGGGGGCCTCGAGTGGACGTGAGAGGCCCGATCGCTCGATGCAGCAGGTGAGGGGGGAGCTCTGAGTGCGCCAGCAGGCTCTCCACGGACACCACCTTGGGGAAGAGGCACAGAGCATTCAAGGCGCCCAGGGGTGGAGTGAGGGCAAAGAACAAAAGTGGGGGACAAGCAGGAGAGCCCACAGAGGAGGGCCAGCCACCTTCAGATTGTTAAAATTCAGCAGCAGCCACATCTGCACGGTGGACACATGCAAGGTCTGGTCCCCAAACTGCAGCTCAGCACGGCCCAGCCATGTCCACTGCAGCCGCCGATGCGGACCTCCCTCTGGGGCAGGCTGGGTCTGGCCTGGAGAAGGCATGGTAAGGGAAGAGACAGGACGGAAGGAGTGGGTGCCACGCTAAGCTTTGTCCTGCTGTCTCTGCAGGGCACCCAGTGGCTTCTGACTGCAGATCTCATGTCTCTGGGTCTGTGCCCTGGCAGTATTGGGTAACTGGAAGCCACCCATGCCCAGTCTCATGCCAGGCAGGTGCCAATCACTGCCTCTTTGGTTTTTGTGACAGGGCTTCTCTATGTAGTTCAGGCTGGCCTTGAACTCATTAGGTAGCCCAGGCTGGCCTAGAACTCGAGGTGATCCTCCTGCCTCAGCCTCCCATGTGTTGTGACTATAGGCATGCACAGCTTCCTTTTTTGGGGGGGGCGGGAATTACAGAGTGAGGAAGGACTGAGTCTGCCACCAAACTGGATTACTGGGAGAGGAAACCTGTCTCTCTCGTTAGTCAGAGGTGCTGAGTGCCGGTCTAGTCTCTCCTCTGTTAGTCTGCCCAGGCCTGATGTGTCTGCCTCCAGGAAACGTCTCCCTGTGGCCTCACTCAGGTGCTTCCTGCTTCATCCTCCCCTATCCGCAAGACTCCTGGGACCCAGAATGCGACAGCAGCTAGCCCAACCCTAAGCTCCTGCCCCTTTTCTCAAGTCTGTTCCCTTACCCCCACAGCCCCAAAGACCGTGTTGTCACCATCCAGGGTCCAAATGGCCACAGGGCCCGCTCCAACCCTGTCCTCTCTGCAGGCCCTAGGCCCCCCTGCTTGGCTACTCACTCTTGTGGTAGAAGTTGGAGTATCGGTTCAAGGTTCCCCTCAGGTAGGAGGGCAGGCAGGTTTTGGGGTTCAGCGTGTGGCATATGGAGGTGACAGGCCAGCAGCGTGGGGACAGGACGAGCACAGACACTTTTGGCATCACCCCTTCATAGTAGAGATCCTCGTTCTCTTCCTCCTCATCCTCTGCTATAGCTGCAGTTGCGGCTGCCCTCGTGTCCTCCTCCTGCTCACGCTCAGGCTCCTGGCCACCGGTCTCTCGGCCCACCTGAACTGGCACAAAGTTCAACTATGCCGAGGGCCTGCTGTGGCCGCCCTGGGCCTCTCCTCCTCCCTTCCTTCCCTTTTGTCGCTTCCCTCCCTGGCCCCACCTGCAGTTTCCTCTCTGTGTCTTCCAGCTTCAACAGTTCTTCATCGAGCCGCTGCAGCTGGTAGACATGGAACTGGCGCTGCAGCTCCTCTGAGGTGCGAAGGCTCCGCAACATCAGCTGGGGGAGGCGGTTGGGGAAGCAGGGGCCGATCTGCTCCAGCACGGCCCCCTCCAGCCAGCTGGGGCCCAAGCTCAGCAGACGGTCGGCCATGTAGTGCCTGTAACACAGGCCCGGCCTCGGTGCTGGTGCCAGGCCGGCCTCGCCCCCCAGAGCCCATGCCCACCGTGGCCCACCAGCTTGGGGTCCGCAGGCCTGTACTCACTGATAGTAATGTTCAAAGGTGGTGGCCACTTCCAGACCAGAGAAAACAAGGGCGGCTTCCAGGGACCTCTGCAGCTGTGCCAGCGTCTCCATGCCCTGGGCACCCCCGACCCGGGTGCCCTGGATCCGCTGGTCGATGTGCCGCGCAAACTGTTCGCTCACCTGGGTGATGGGCACGCACAGAAAACCCCATGGGCAGGAGCAGTGGCAGAGCCTGGGGATGTGGGCAGGGTGCCTAGCAGCCCATGAAGTGGTCAAGCCAAGGCCTCGTGTACGCTAAGCACACCCTCTGTCTACATGGGCAGAAAACCGCTTTACAGAACCATTAACGCTTCTGCAAATTAGCAATATGAACAATTCTGAGAAGTGTTCTTCACACATAACGTGTCTCAAAATCAGATAACAGAGCAGGTGTGGTGCCGCGTGCCTGTGGTCCCAGCACTCAGGGAGGCTAAGGCAGGAAGATCACAAGCTCAAGCTCAGCCTGGGCAATTTAGTGAGTTAGAGAGACCCTGTCTTAGTGACTAAGTGTCTCAAAAAAATAAAAAAAGGCCCTGGGTTGTATCACAGAGGAAAAAAAAAGAAAAAAAGCAAAAAAGCCAGAGATCAGGCTACAAAATTAACATCATCTTACTACTGTAACAACCAACTATAACATAGCTTTAAGAAAGCAAGGTATGAACCGCCCCCCCACAACATAGCGGGTGTCAGATACAGGCCTATAATCCCAGCACTCAGGAGGCTAAGGCAGGAGAAGTTCTGAGCGTTCAAGGCCAGCTTGAACTACATACAAGACCCTGTCTCCAAAAACGGGGGTGGGGTGGGGCAGGGATGTATCTCAGGGCACTGCGCCCTGGGGCAAAAATAAAGAACCAAGGACACAGCGGCACTCACCTGCAATCCCAGCACTGGGAGGCTGAGATGGGCATAGCAGTCCTAGCTACTTTTTTTTTTTTCTATTTTTCAAATTTTCAGCAACATAGCTCTCTTCAGGGAATGGGAAGGTGAACGGGTCACTGAGGGCGGTGGGGATGGAGTCTTCGGGGAGGCCCAGAGCTGGAGGCTTACATGTGCGGCTCTGAGGAAGGGCAGCTGCAGCAGGGCCCCAGCACAGCCGCTCTGTAGTGCCAGCAGGAAGGTGGCCCGAGGCCCGAACAGCTCAGAGCTAGACTTCTGCAGGTTGTGGACACGTTCACAATAGCGCTGGACGAAGTCATCATCCCGCCAGTGCGAGGCCAGGAAGGTGTTCACCTGCAGGTAGGGCCGGCGTGAAGGGGTATCCAGTGGCCCCAGCGGTCCTGCCTGACCCTGGCCCTGCCCCACCTGCTCCTCCACCACAGCACGCCAGCAGCGTGTCAGGTTCCTCAGGATGCTGCCCGGGAGGCTTCGGGGGGCTGTGGAGCCCCAGTCATGGCTTCCGCTTCCACCCTCTGTGGAGAGAGAGAGAAGGTGAGGAGGCAGGGAGGGACCTCCAGCTCCCCAAGGGTGCCTGGGGCTTTCCCGACATGGACATGCTGCCATCCTCCAGAAGAGGGATGGAGCAAGGGAACCAGAACTCACTGGGCCAAGGGGCTACTGCAGGCTCGCAGGGCTCCACGTGCACCAGTAGGTGGGTGAGGCGACGCACACGTGACGAGAAGGCGGCCGCGCGGCTCTGAGGGTTGTGGGCAGACTCGCGACATTCCAGGTACTGGTTCAACAGCCAGCCCAGGGCACTCACGCCGTCCTCATCTGGAGGTCCAGAAAAGCAAGCCATATATGGGACATCTCCTGGGGACAGGGCGGGGCCGGGCTGGACGGGGTGCAGAGAAAGAACCACCGGACAGAGAGACACAGGGGAGAGGGTGGCAGGCCTGGCCTGGCCTGTGGTGTCATTTGGCACTTGGAAGATGGGAAACCACCAGCGCCTTCTCCTTGGGCTGGGAGAAAGGTGATGGACCCGGGTGGCCAAAAGGCCAAGATGCCAGGCACTGCAGAGCAGGCCTATAATCCCTACACTTAGGAAGCTGAGGCAGGAGGATCGCTGCAACTTCAAGGCCAGCCTGAATTGTATAGAAAGACCCTGTCTCAAAAAAACAACCCAAAATGGTCAAGAGCATAACCCTGGGTTTTCTAGGGGAGAGCAAGGGGCCGGGATGTTACCAGGCGAGGTGATGTTCTGCACCAAGGGGCTGACCAGGGCCTCCCAGCAGGTCTTTCCCAGTGCCCGGGCAGCCTCCTCGTCAGGGAGGAAGCGATCAGCAAAATTCTGTTCATGGCGCAGAGCCCCATTGAGTCTGAGGAGGAGGATGGAGAAGGAGGGTATCGGGCTTGCAGATTAAGCTGCCTGGTGTGTACCTCACCAGTTCAACTCCCATCCCCAGCCCAGAGCCCCACTCATTACTCAGAACTTGCCTGGGCTAACTGGTAACCCCACTGACAGCACATGCGGATTTCTATCTTCTCCTCCCCGCCAAAGTGCATTAGCTCGCCATCTCCTGGCCTCCCTTCAGCCGTCGCCAGCCATGCACAACCAGGCATGTACACCCCTTGCACACCTGGAACTCAGATGCAGGAGGCTCCTGCGGTCCTCAGCTATGTCCTGGCTCCAGGCCTGTGCGCGAACCATGTAGAAGAGACGTGTGTGGCGACACAGCTGCTCCCGGAATGCCGGCCAGAAAGTGGGCTTGGGGCCCAGGACCTCCACACCCCGGATGCGTGTGTCAATGCCACCCTGGAATGCACACAGCTATCACCACTGAGCCGCAAGCCAGGCCCTGGATCCACTCAGCACTGCACCTTCCCCTACCCCGGCCCCACCTGCTGGCAGCGCCTTATGCGGATTTGGAGGATGGGCCAGAAGTGGGTCAGGTTCTCCAGCAGGGTGACCCGGCTGGCACAGGGCATCACGTTCACCTGAGGGACAGAGAGGGTTGTCACCTCCTCATGTGCGGGTGGGAGTGCTGTGAGCACCCATGTCAGCAGTATTCCCCTTGCTGTGTGCCTCCCCTTTCCAGCCCTGGGACATGGGCCTCTGCTGCCAGCCCCACTGCTCTGGGCTGGAGGCCATCACACAGACACAGAGACAAAGGACTTTACGCTCTGTGGGGCTCAGGGAGTTCAAGGTCAGGCAGACGGCAAACCCTACAAGGGTGGGTTAATGGTCCAGGAGCTCCTACCGAGTTGAGTTCCGTGTTAAGAGAGCTGGTGGTGTTGCCCCCATACACTGCCACCAGTGCTGGCATGTAACTCGCGTCCTCTCTGGCCACCAGCAGAGTCAGCAGCCTGGGGATGGGGAGAGGAGCCGGTGGGCATGGGAACCGGTCATGTCCACGCAGACAAACCCCAGGGACTCTGGCCAAATCCAGAGGGTGCTCCCCACAGCCACAGACAGGGAGATGAGAGAGAGCCTGGGCGTGCGGCTCGTACAGGCGTAGGCACACAGACCTCACACAGACACCCTGGCGCATGTGCAAGGTGATGTGGTGGGAGCCGGTGCTGCCGCTGGACTCCCAGTAGGTCTTGGGGTTGCGGTCCGTCAGCTTGCTGGCCCGGTGTGGGTTGGAGGACACCTCCACCTTCTCCCAGCACTTGTCCTCCTTCACATCCACGCTGGAGCCTGGGGCAGGCAGGAAGGGGCGTTCAGTACACAGGAAAAGCAGTATGGGAAGGGGGATACTGAGCAACTGGAGACAGTCACAAACCCTGGCACAGATATCTGAGGAACACATCAAAGAAGGGGATATTGATGGGATGGTGGGTTCTTCTGTGGTCTTCGATCTGGCCCAGCACCATCTGCAGTGGGAACACAGGAGAGAAGGGGTAGGAGTGGTGGGAGGGACGGAGAAACATGGGCAGGGCACAGGCCACACCACAGGGGGAAGAGTCATCTGCTGTTCCCATCAGCCCCAGGAACACACCCCTCTTCCCGTTGCCTGGTGCCACATTCTGCCACCGCTCTGAACCCCAAGCTTGACCCCACCATTCCCTCTGACCTGGATGCAGCCGCCCAGGATGTTGGTGGTGAGGCTCCAGTAGAGGTGTGTGTGCTTCTCACACTTGGACAGGGCATCCCGGAGCTCTGGAACGGACTTCAGCTTTCCCGGGTGCTTCTCCAGGGCCTTGGAGATGGCATCCTGGGCTCCCAGCTGGTTCAGCACCACAGCATAGTCTCTGCTCCCCGAGGTCAGGCGGTGTAGGAAGACGATGAGTTCCTGGAGCACCTGCACGGGGACATCACAGGGCCTGTGAATGGGGGGACAGGGTGCAGGCCGTGAGGGCACCTGCGATGACACATGACCACAGTGCACTGGGAGTGCCACGGTGGGCAAGACTGAGGGGGGATGTAAAAGGACAGGGAGGGGCAAATGCAGAGAACCAAGATCAAGACAAAGGGGTGGAGCCAAGGAACCCCGTGACCCTGGCATTCTAGGCTGCTGAGCAGGGCTGGGAGAGCCCTGAGTTCTCACTTGGGTCCTGCTATCCCAGAACCCAGAGGCAGACACCTAGGACCGACATCCAAAGGACAGGGAGGGGACCAAAAAGACTGGATTGATGTGAGGACCTCAGAACCTAAGGCCTGGTTAACAGCTAAAGGTGTGGGCTCCAGGTCACCAGCCACCATGAGCCCAGCTCTCAGGCCCTTTCTGAAGTCCTCTGTGCCCAGGACCTCTCTGCAGCTCCTGCAGGGACACTGACAGGCTGCGTACCCTTGGCCTCTTTCTCCCCTTTTCCAGCACCAGCCCAAGTGAAAAAGAAGCCACGGAGAAGCATTTGTGTATCTTTGCCTAAGAAGAGCTGGGGATTTAGCTCAGCGGCACCTCACTTGCCTGGCAAGCACAAGGTCCTGAGTTCAATCCCTGATACCCAAAATAAATAAAAGAAAATCAAGAAGGATACATCTATGAATACAGGGGTTACCTGTAGGGGCACCAGGGGAGGGGGGACCCTGAGAGCACAAATGCAAATGGGAGTGGCAGAGTTCAATGTGTACCTTGTGCTGTTTTGATCTGTGAACCATGTAAATTTGATCTGTGAACCATGTAAAATTGCCTATTTTGTTTACTTATTTATTTTTTTGGTACTGGGCATCAAACTGAGGACCTTGCATGTGCGAGGCAGGTGGCAGCACCACTGAGCTAAATCCCCGGCCCTGCACTGCCATTTTAAACAATGAAATTTGACTTTAAAAGCAAAACCTAAGCCAAGAGCACAAAGCCTGTGTGGCGCCCTCCAAGCCTTGCCCAGGGGTCACCTCACCAGCCATGCCCTGCTGTCCTCTCCAGTCCCAAATGGCCCCGGGGCAGGCCAGGGTACCTCATAGTCCGTGCTGGGGGACTTCAGGCAGGCCACGCACGCGTCCAAGGCCTCATGCCAGGGCAGCAACAGGGCCTCAGGGAAGTCCACCAGCTGCACCAGGATTCTGGGGCAGAGGCGAGAGGGAGGGAGATATGCAGCTGGCCAAGGCCCCTAACCTCGCCCCGCCCCTCACCAGCCTCACCTCAGTGCTGCCAGGTGCAGGGCCTTGCCGGCTGGGGTATCCAGGCTGCGCAGGAGGGCGAGGAAGGGCTGTGGCTGCCTCTGGAGCTGCAGCAGGCACGGCCTGACCTCACCATCCTGGGGCCCGGTGCAGCCCAGGGCTTTCTCGAGGTCCACAAGTAGTTGCCCAGCAGGCCCCAAATCCTCTGCCAGGTACTCCAGGGCTGTGCCAGGCCTCTGAGAGCGGGGCTCCTCCTCTGTAGGAAGGGGGCATCACAAGAATTGGACTCGATTGGTGGTCCAGAGATTCAGAAAACGACACTGATTCCTAGCTCTCCGGCTTTTTACTAATTTCTCCTAAAAAATCGATTTTTTATTTTTATTTATTTATTTTTTTGCTTTTGGTGCTGGGGGTCAAAATCCAGGGCCTTGTTCATGCAAAGCAAATGAACTACGTCCTTGGCTCTCAAGTTTGTTTGTCCTTCTAAAAGTTAGTTTAGTTTTGTTTTTTTTGAGACAGGGACTCACTATGTAGTTGAGACTGACCTGAACTCACTATGTAACCCAGGCTGGTCTCGAACTCACAGCGATCCTCCTGCCTCAGCCTCCTGAGTGCTGGGATTACAGGTGTGCGCCACCATGCCTGGCTCAGTATTTCATATTCTTAAAATAACTAAGTAGCTTTCTGTCTGCAAATAGCAGAGCATTTCCCTACTTAAAAAGTACAGTCAGGCATGGTGGCACACATACCTGTAGTAACCCTAGGACTCAGGAAGCTGGGGCAGAAGGATCATGAGTTTGGGGCCAGTGTGAGCAATTTAATAAGACCCTATCTTATATTGGGAAAAAAAGAGGGGAGGCTACAGTGTAGCTCAGTGATGGAGCCCTTGACTAGCATGTGCAAGGCGCAGGGTTTAATTCTCAATACTCACCACACACACACACACACACACACACACACACACACACACACGCAGAAATTTGAGAAATAATGTTTTTGTTTACAATAGAAACAAAACAATAGGCTTCTGAACATCTCTTTCAGCTGGCATCATGGTGCATGTCTATAATCCCAGCATTCTGGAAGGCTGAGGCAGGAGGATGGTAAATTTGAGCCCAGCCTGGGCAACTTAATGATACCGTCTCAATATAAAAAAGTTTTTAAAAAGACTGAAAATGTAGCTTAGTGTGAATGCCCCAGGTTCAATCCCTGATACCACCAAAAAAGGAAAAACTAAGGGGTGTAGCTCAGAGGCAAAGCACCCTCGGTGCTTCAATCCCCAGCTGGTGTTACAACATCAACAACAAAACTCCACAATGTTTAATCTTTACTGGGCAGGGATGTCTCCTACACTTTACATCTTCCATTATTCTTTTTGTTTTTAAGACAAGGTCTTGCTATGTAGCCAGGCTGTCCTTGAACTTGAAGCAATTCTTCTGCCTCAGCCTCCCAAGTGTTGGGATTATAGGTGTGCACCACCAAGTTTAGCCTTTTTCTGATTTTCATTTTTTTCTTGGTACTAAGAGTTGAACCTAGAGCTTGTGCATGCTAGACAAGCCCTCCACCATTGATCTATATCCTCAGCCCTCTTTATTTATTTTTTAAATTTTGCCATAAGGTCTTGCTAAGCTGCTAAATTGCTCAGGTCGGCTCCAACTTGCAATCCTCCTGCCTCAGCCTTCCACAGTGTTAGGATTAGAAGTATGAGTCACCCCGTCTGGCTTTTTGTTTTGTTTTTTGAGACAGGGTCTCATACTGTCTTGCCCAGGCTGCTCTGGAACTTCTGGTTTAAAGGGATCCTCCCATCTCAGCATCCCAAGTAGCTAGGAATACAGATGTGTGCCACCTGGCCTGGCTCCCCTCCTTTGTTGTTTCTCTCCTAGACAGGGCTACCCAACAATCTCTAGCTCCCAAAGACAAGCATGCCCACCTGTGCCTGTCTGGTACCCACCTTCTGCTCTGGTTGCATCTTCCTGGGCCTGGGCTTGGAGAAGGGGTGGGTAGGCCAGCTGCCCTGCTGGAGCCTTGGGGCTGTACTTCCTGTAGACTCGGCAGTTGAGCAGATCCCGGAGGGCACTGTCATCCAGTCTCTGTGGCAGAGCCTCTAGCAGATTGCAGGCTAACTCCACAGGCACAGCCAGTTCAGACAGGATCTCATCGTCCAGCACATGCTATGGGGAGACACTTTCACTGCAGGCAGCTCTGGGGCGCCTAGAAGGGGATTTACCCACACGGCCTTCCACCCTGAGCCCCTTCTGAATGGCGCCTGGCTCCTCGAAGAGTGCCTACCACACCTGCACTGGAGAACACTGCAGACCCCTCCCTTGCGGCCCTCATGCCCATGGCCCCAACTTCCCATCCACAGCCTTCCAGATGTCTGTCCTACCCCACACAGCAGCCCCTCCACCCTGGTGTCTCTACCTCCCCGTCCAGGTTCTCCTGCAGCATCTGGAGAACTTCCTGATGGTCAGCCCCATCCAGCTTCCTGATGAAGAACAGCAGCTCCCACCACTCAGCCTGGCTCAGGTGCGCACTCTCCTCTGGGTCCTCGTCCTCGGGCAGCACGTAAGGCACAGCATACAGCTCAGTCATAGGCTTCCAGCGCCAGGAGGGTAGCACTGTGGAAATGGGCCACGGGACAAAGTCATGGCATCACCCACCCAGCCTGACCACAGCTCCCCAGGGCAGAGCTGCTTTCTCCCCCAGCTCACCTCCATTCAGGACTCCGCTGACCACTGCCCCCTGGTGGTCAGCAGCCTCCATCAAGTCCTCATTGTCTTCCTCAAAGCCCAGGATCTCCAGCATGTGCCAGTGCACCCAGTAGGTGCGGCCTGTGGACTCCCACCACACCTGAAGGAGAGGGAAGGAGGCAAAAGGGCTAAGGATTGGCTGTGGCTCGAGGATGTGGGCCCATACACACAAGGTGGCCACCTGGCCACGTGTGGAAACAGCTCCAAAAATAGTCAAACACTGGCACAGACCCAAAGAATACTTTCCTCTTCCAAAATGGCTCTGCCTCTCCTTTCTACCTGGCCTCCGGTACCCCAGCTCTCCAACCTGACCTTTGAGAGAGTCTAATGCTGTTTGTCCCCAGTGTTAAGCCTTCTCGCCCGTATTTTCTCAGCCTTCCAAGCAGCCCTCTTGACTCCTGAGCCCTAGGTCCTACCTAGGATCTTCTCTTCCTATAACTCACCAGAGCCCATCTAAACCCCATCACTGGAGTCCCCAACAGTACCCTACCACCATGTGCCTCTCACCTGTGCAGGGGGAACACCACTATTGCTCTGCCGGAACTCGCCCTCGTCCCCAGCACTGATCTCCTCATAATCATCCAGCATCCGCACTCGCATGCCTGGCTGCAGCACGTCCCGAACGTATAAGGCATAGGTATTGCCACTTGCAAACTCTGTTCGAGGTCGGAACCGCCGTGACCTTCTCCTAAAGGAGTGCCGGACCTGGCTGAGTGGTAGCCCCCGGCTGGCATCTGCTGCCTGAGGCTGGAAGATGGAACAGGGGGACCGTGCCGAGCTGCCTGGTCTGCTTGAGGTGTAGTCCCAGTGCACGGCCTGCACCAGCTCTGAGATCAAGGTGCCCATGGCCATACTGAATTCCAGATCCAGTCGGCCTTTCTCCTCACTCAATTCTGCAGGGGCTCCTGATTCCTGGGTGCTGCTGTTCAGCTGATCCAGGAGGAAGGTGGCATGCAAATACCGCTTCACCAGGGAGAAAAGCAGCCTTCCTGGGACCTGTGGGATACAACTTTGGTCTCCACCCACCTCATCTCTGCTCCTGCCCCCCTTTCCGCACTGTCCCCAGTGCCAGATGCAAAGGCCCGGTCCTTAGATCTCACTCACAGCTTCCCCCACTCCCTGTCCTCAGGATACCTGTGGCAGCTGAATGCCCTCAAAAGACATGGGGTGTTCGGCCAGCGTGGCCTGTGCAAACAGCGCCAGCAGGGCACAGCGGCTGTCAAAATCCAGGTGCTTCTCAACAGCCTCTTGCTGGCTCAGTGACAGAAGGATGTGGGTCCTCGTCCCTGTAACCCACACCCCAATCAGTAACTGCTCCCTAAACTCACCTTTCCCAGGTATCTACCCCAGACTTTGTTCACTCAATAAAAATAATCTTGCTACTACTCAGGGGGAATGACATGATGTGTTGCTATGTTTCAAAAGCCAAAATTTACTATCTTATTCATGCACACAGACACAAAGTCTGCAGTAGTCAACACTTTCTTTCATAAAAAACTAATTAATACGAACTTCTTGCAGATTCAGTTTTTCCTCTTCCTGCAGATGTCCCCACCCCAATCCCAACCTTTTCTTCCGTCTCTCCAAGACGGGCAACAGAATCACTACTGTACTGATGAGGTTGGCGGGTCCTGTCAGTGTCCAGTGAATCCCTGACTGCCCCAGCCCCTCTCCCGCTCTCCCTCCCTTCCTCCCTTCCTCCCTCCCTCCTGGCACTGCCCCTCACCAGCATCATGGGAGGACAGAGCCTGTATCATCCGTCCCGCACTCCAGCGAATCTGGTAATCGGGGCTACTCAACATGTGCATGAGCAAGTCTAGGACCCTTGGGTCTTTGAAGACCCCAGTGAGGGGCTCGATGCTGGCATAGGCGCTGAGCACGTGGACAGTGTGGAGCAGAGGGGCAGGAGGGACGGTGCCGACACACTCCTCCAGCTGCCGAAGGGCCCTCTGAATCAGAGACTTCACATCTGTTTCCATCTCCTCCAGCACAGATTTGTCCAGGGTCCCAGCCTCCACTGCAGACTCCTGAGAGGGCCCAATGACCTGGCCATCCTCGCCCAGCATCTTGTGACAGTTGGCATAGATCTCATCATCAGACATCCACAGCAGGATGTGCTCAGCCTTGCAGTCCACTTGGCCAGGGCCCCCTTCCCCATCCTCTCCTCGCCTGAGGACGAGCCAGCGGATCTGGTACTCAGGGTGCCCATCGGGGCCCACCCGCTGCCGGATCAGCTCATCAGGATAGGCGTGCAAGCCAGGCCCCAGGGGCACCCTGAATTCTCTGTAGCGGAGCTCCCCCACCATCCTGGCACATATGACAGAAATGAAAGAGAACAGACAAGCTGGAGTGAGGGAGTAGGTCAGAAAATCAAGCCCATCCAGGAGTCTTAGAAGCAAAGGTCACAACAGCTGCAGGTCTGAGAGGGGTAAGGCTGGGCCCAGGAATTGCCTGTGGCAGCCTGGATGGGTACAGGGCAGGCAGCGGGTACCCTGGGAGCTGGACGGCTGTCACCAAGGCTTGCAGCCTGCAGTGGGAAGAAGGAAGCCCAGTCTTGGACCAAAGGCCCTGGGGAAGGCAGCCCAGCTAGGGACAGCACCGAGGCCTGAGGGGTGAGGGGTGAGGGCTCAGAGGGGGTGCACCAGAGCATGCGGAAAGGGCTGTTATCTCTAAGGCCGGAAGGGTGGGATTTGGAGTTGCCAAGGTAGAGACCCTAAGAACTGATGGAGAAGGACAAAGGCCAGGGAGGAGCGGGTGGCTGGCGAGAGAGATGCCTGGAACACCTGGGCGCGGAGCAGGTGGGGACGGGGCGAGCCTGCGAAGGATGCACTGGGGAGCAGGGG